AAATCAGCTTTGGTTTCAAAGTCAGAATAGTTAAGGAGCTTGAAATAACCAGTTTGGCTTCTTGGTCACAAGTCCTCCATATCAATTCCTTTAATTTTTATTCCTTAAAAACAAAAACAAGTGAAGAACACAATACACTCCGTCTCATTCTCTGCCATCTTTCCTGCTGCATGTGCTCTGCATGGAACAGCAGATCTTTTCTGCATGCTTCATAAGTGACCCTGGTGACCATCCTGTAGATTTTGGGAGCAAGACCCTACTTCCTATTGCTACACGGCCTCCGTTCTCTTCAGGGGAGCAGGCGCTGGAGCCTTGCGGAAGTGCCATTAAAATGGAGGATATGCAGCAATCATGTTTCTGGACTGCACCCAGTAGCACATAAGACCAAAATATATATATTTATATTTATATATATATATATATATATAAAATTAAAGTTAAAAAAAGAAACACTTTCTCAACAATAAATAAACCAATGTGCCCCATATAGGTTCAGATTGGAAACAAGCAAACTACATGACAAAAAAGCTCAGTACAAAATGTTATTGAAACATTTTTTTTTTACAGTCAAACATTTACATGGAAATTAGTTTCTATTATTTTTATTTTAAATTAATTCAGTGTTGCTCATGAACTGGGTACAAGTAGAGTGCTGAGGTAAAACATTGATGAACAGTTTCTGGTTTTTTTCTTCTTCTTTTTTAAAATAGTAACAGTTTAGTATTGCAAGATTGTCAGCAACATTTAGCCATATCTATACAATGTGCATATACCTACATACAATGAGCTTTGGTCCAGCCTTGAGAAGACGAGCAAAGGCATTATACATATTTCTTTTTGGTTATAGCTTGAGTACTTTGACACGCCTCTACTTGTTCCTTCTTAGCTCCCTTTTCCTTTCTTTGTTGATTTACTTCTTCGTCTGTGTGATTATAACATAAACTGAAAAGTTCTAAATGGATTTGGTATTTTTCTGTTCAGTTGAACCTGTACACTCAACATGTAAGCATTTTTGGCATGATACTGTCTCAAACACCAAGGCGATGCCGCTTAGACACTGATGCAATGCAGGAGTTTGTGACAAAGGTGGGTATCCCATACATGGTGCATCTCATGGATTTGCAGGGCAGGGAACAAACTGTAGGATTAGGCCTTTACTAGCAAAAGAGAAAATGACACATCCAGGAACAAAGCACAAAAATAGTTGAATAATTTTTATTCTTACAGCTAATTAATTCCTGTTCATTCTTCCAACTGAACTCAGAAGATGTATAATTGACAGATCACTCAGCATAATGGTAAACTCCAGATTAGCATTCTGTGACTGAGCTCCTCCCTGAATTCTTGACCGTTTAGCATAGTTGTGAGGAAGAGTTAGAAAACTTTCATTTCTCTGTTTCATAATCACAGACTACTGTGTCCATTAGAACTTGGGCAAATAGTACTGCAGTTCATTTTCACTCAATCTTTTTAGTAGAAAGAAGTGAATTTTAAATCACAGTTTTTGAAGCTGGCTTGTTTTCACAAGTCCTAATTAAGATGAACTGGAAGGTAGAGGTCAGATAACATGCTAAACTGGTTTTCTCAAAATGGAAGTTTCTGCTCTCCCTGTAGCTGTGCCTGAGGAGGACAGGAAGAAGGGATGTATATAAGCCTGGAAGAAAATTAAGCTCATGATTACATCCATTATGGTGGACTAGAGATGAGGGTTTACTCCACTGTTTGAAAATCAACTCTCTTTTTTTCACCCAGAAATGCAAAATATAGTTTTTTGTATAACAGCTCTTTACACAATTTGGCCAGGATTTAAAGATCTACATTTTTACCCATGGAAAATTTAGGTTTTTGAGGGCTTCTTTCAACTGAAGCACCTCATGAGTTCAGAAAAACTGCTCTGGATGTTCCCTTAAATGTGGCGTTCAAGTGAGCCTGCAATAATGTAATGATACTGAGAACTGACAAAAGCCATCATGTTTGTGTAAATGCTCTAGTGCATGCATGTGTCTCATTGGAGCCCAACCTCTATTTATAGAAATCATAAAAACTGTTTACAAAGAGTGGAAGAATTCTCCTCAGCGGCTGTAGTGATTTTACGGCAATATTGAGGAGGATTTGATAACTTGTTTTTTAAAAGCAGCAAACAGCTGATCTATTTTATTTTCTGGAATGATGCTTGGGTGCTGATATTGCAACTAGGGAGACAGAACTTGAGGAATATGAAGTTCAAAACCCTTTTACTTTTTTTTAAGTGGTTGTGTTGGCCTATGAACAATCTCTTTGGCCCTGCATGATTTTAATTAAGCCTACCAATTCTCTATAACTAAGGTACAGCTTTGGGGAACACCTTTAACAAATTAATCAGCATTAAGTGTTGTAGCTATCCATTATCATATCCAGGCACCTCTACCAAATCTGGAAATGGGCTGGCCTTTTCACTACTGAAGCTATGTGGCTTATTAATTATTGGAAGGCTTTGCTCTTGAAGAATGAGAAGAAACAGTTTTGTTGAATATGGAAGAACTGAAAGCTTTGTTCCTCATAGTTTTATCTAGTCTGCTCATTACAGAAACTTCGTAGTGCTTTCTAACTGAAGTGTAATTTAAATAATTTAGATTGAATAAAGGGGCTTCCTATTCCATTCTTTTCCTGAAGAGTGCTTTGAGACCTAGATGTTTGCATTTCATGGTATCTTGGTAGGCTAAATTCACCTAAGGTTCAATAGGTCTAATCCCTAAGGAAGAATCATTCCATTGATCTTACTTTGAAAATAAGCAGAAATCTACTCTCAGCCAAAACAAACAAGCACACTCCATCTAAAACCTGATGAATATAGACTTGCTATATGTCCACATTTAGTAGCGCCTTGATGTTTATTTTATATACATAACTTTAGGATGCTAATGTAATTAATCTGTTTCTGCTTATGGGGAATTCTCACTCTTTTGTTCATGTAGTGTTATGTCCTTAATCTACTAAACAAAGAATAAGAGTGCATGGTTTTCTAAAGGTTCTACTCAATTATTTCTATTCTAATAATAGAATGTTTATAAACACAATAACTTATTTGGCTCCTGTGGAATTTTTAGAAAGAAGAAGAATCCATCTTTTCTGCTTCAGTTAAATGCTTTGTGCTACATGGTCAATTGAATCTCATAAATGGTGTCAATTAATATGTGACCATGGAGCTCATTCTTGGCGCAAGAAACCAAACTTGATTGGAAATGGTACATCAAGACTTTCATGTAACTTTAACATCTCAGATATAATCTGCCAAAAAATTGTATTGTGCAAACTTAATTAAATGGAAAAGTAGATTAGAACTCCAGTAAGAATACAAAATTAACCGCAATCAGAATAGACAAAGTTCTAGAATGGAACAGTTTCTTCTGCATCTGATCTGTCTAAGATGAGCAATTAATTAACTCCTCTTATTTTCCAGTGAGACAGGAAAGAACTCATGAGACAAGTGGAACCCTTAAGGCTACAGATCTTGTGCACAATTTATACTCAGTTACAATGGAGTAGTTGTGCTAAAAGAGAAAGTAATTTTGGACTTACACTAAGATCAACTGGAGAATTATTTAGTAATTCAATCTCAAATTCAAATGTACCTTAAAAGTCTGGAATAGAATTAGCATTAGTTTATAAATGAGCAGAACTCTGACCCTGAGTTCCAACCTTTAACGATAAGGTTTAATTAATTCTGACTGTCTTCTACAACTCCCACTAATATCTTTTGGCCATAAAGCTGGTATGTGGAGGCAATCTCTGCTTCCTAATGCTCCTTTCAAAATTAAGATAAATAAATATTTGCAAAATATTCATTCTGTAGCTAGCCATTTTGAGCAATCGCAAAACCATTTCTGAGTTCATCCATAGTCTTGAAGGTTGCAAGTGCTATAAATAAATAAATAAATGACAAAAGCAGCAACAACAAAAGAAATGCTTTAGTTAAAAAACCAAACTTAACCAATGTTCTCATTTCATCACTTTGCCAGTAGCTTGTTTTCCATTAGATTCCCAAGAAATTTCTTTGGCTATCAGACTTTGGAGAGAAATTGCTTCACATAGAAAGAACCATAAACATTGATACTGTATTTTGGACCAAACGGTACAGTTTATAATTATATTACAAAAGTAGCTTTGGTAACCTCTCCAATTTGTGGCCAAAGGACAGAGAAAGTGACAAGCTGTCTACAGTAAGTGAAAGTTCAGGTAACTTCATGTGTCCTTGAACTGACTGCTACAGCCTGTGTATTTTTTTTTTTTAAATCAGTTGTATTTTAAATAAATTTCAGTGGTATTAGGATGGAGAAGGCAGTTAAAATAAAAGGTCACTCAAACTGCAAAGAAATAAAGTCTTCAAACCCTAAAATTCACTGTTTAGGGAAACTGTCATTTTGGCACACAAACATTTGGAGATCACAAAACTGTATATGATCAACAAGAGGGTTGAGCACTGTAGCTCAAACCGAGTGAAATTTACTCACGTGCTGGGTATGTGTGAGAAGGTGCAGGGGGAAAGAAAGTCCTTTAATTATTACTGTTTCCTTTCTGCAAACGACAAGTGTAAAAATTTAAAACACAATGTAGGACTCCCAAAAGAGTTGACCAACAATCTAGTTTCAATGTCACGTTTCTGACTTTGGTTAATAGTTTTCATTGTGAAGAAGCACTTGATACCTGAAAGACCACAATCACTCCTCCAGGTGGCAGGCTTGTACTCTCTCACTTCCTAAAAACAGTTAAAAGTTTGCTGTCCTTGTTGTTGGTGGGTTCTTTTTCCGCAAAACAAGTTCACATTTCCATAATATACAGAAAAAGTAAGCAGTTATTTGGTTTATTTTTAAGTCCATAAAAAAAAAAAAACTGGCTTATTGGAACTAGTTCTACCACACACACACACACCCTAAGTGCTGTGTATTTTTTTTTTCATATTTTTTATTTTTTTTCTAGGAAATCCCACAGACATTTATAAATTGTTCTGTCCATCTTGTTGCTTCCACAGTCTTTTACTTACAAGGGTGAGAAAGAGCATCTTTACAGAGTTCAAAAGTTGAAAACGGTGTCCGTTTTTGTGTGTGTGTGTGTTTTTTTCCCCCTTTAAATCTATCCATTTAAGAGTTTTCTTCCAGAGAGTCTGTTAAGGGCTCCATCGGGGCTGCTGTTGCAGGCTCGTGCTGTTTTAGGCGTTTAATTGTATTCTTCAGTGCTTGCCTCTTATTGCAGAACCAGACTCTAACTACTTCCCGGTCATAGTTCAGTTTCTCTGCAATTTCTGTCATTTCCTGCCCAGAGGGATGGGTGTTCTTCTCAAAATGGGCATTCAAGATTTCAAGAGCTTGTGGGGTGAAGGAAGTGCGCCTCTTGCGCTTTTTGGATGGTTCGCTTCCAATAAATTCAGTAAGGTTCTGCATACCTGCTCGATGGCGGGCCTCAGCCTCAGCCATCCACCGTTCAAGCACCGGCTTTATCTTCTGGGCACTTTTAGGGGTGATGTCCAGCTTTTCAAACCTGGCAGGATACAAAAGGCCAGGGTTCAGTTTGGCTGTCAGACTGCTAGCTATAGTGTTCTCTTGGGCTTCCTGTGGTAGGAAAAAGTGGCTTCTCAGGATGGTGTGTCTGAGGGGAAAATTGAAAAAGAAGAGTCTTACACTGATGCTCTGCCAGGGTGGGACTTCCTGCCTGCCTGACTAATTGACTGGCAGAGATTATTTACAATGGATTATGAAAAATTATTAACTCTACAGATATTGATATATTTCAACAAACAGACAAACAAATACAATCACACTGACAAAATGTCATCAGAATGCTATTCCTTCTAACTAGTTGCTTCAGACTGAGACTCATGTGCATTCAGAGGCTCACATTAATATCTGGTGCAGATGGGTCTCTCAGTTCATTTCTGTGAAGCGTGTTGACCCCATGCCCCTAAGTGTATTCATCTAGATCGACCTGCTTCACTGAAATGGATGGAGCTCCAGCCAGGAGAACTATGTGTGTGCACTGGAAGGGCACTGCTCTTAAAGCATATGTTTCAGATTTCAGCATGTTCAAAATCGTATATACTATGAGCAAGCTGAACCCAAAAGTTAGAAACAGGAAATGACAGCAATTGACTCTTTGTTTTCCTTTATTTTTATTTTTACTGGGAACTAGTTTACTTTCTACAGCACACACTGCTATTTTAATTTTGCAGAGAGGTTGTTAGCCTCTTAAGTTCAGGTTTTGTTTTCCTTTTTATTTTTAAGCAATTTTCACTGGACACAAGTTAGCATCATGTCCCTTCAAAATCCCCAAAGCTGTTGCAATCTTCAATTCAAACAGCTGGACACATTGTAATTACCTTGAATATCTCCACAAGTAGTTGTGCTTTGAGAAACTCATGCCTTCCCGATGAAACCCAGCATAATAGTGAACTAATATGCTTTGGCATCAAGCTGGGTTTATTGTGGCATGTCTCCACACTGTGCCAAACGATATCATTTCCTGTAAATGAGGTCCTCTAGGTCTCATTTTACCATCAAAACTCTTTTACTGGACCACATTTTACAAGTCATTTGCAGTACCTGCAAAAAATTTTCTAAACTGAGCTGAAGACTTTATTTCCCTTAAAATCAAGCCAGTTTTAAGTCTTATGTTATCCACTATTTGTAGCTTCATAGATTACATTGTTTTTACATTCATTCACAGAAAAAGTGCAATTTACTCCCCGAGATGCTGTTGTAAAATGTGTAATGAGATTAAAAGCATGGCTAGTCTACCAAACTCAAGTTCGATTCATACAGAAATGTGATTGCTTTCACTAACGTGTGCTCCATTATTAATATACATATTTTAAAAATAGGCAAGTATTTATGTTGGACAGAACAAGAAACATTACATGTAACTTTGTGTCTGAAAATGATAATAACTAGAGAGGGATGCACAAACCCCTTATTGGGGCTCCCCTGAAGGTTAATATTTTTTTTTCCTGAACTAGCCCTTAGACTATTAGATTTGGTTCAATTATAAGAAGCCAATGGTTTCAGGGTAAACCTCATCCTAATCTATCTCACAAATTTGCTATGAAGTTCAAATAAGATCTTCTCATTTGCATCACTCAATGCTAGGATAAAATGTGTCAGCTAAAGTGTGTATTGTACAGTAAGAAGTAAGGATCTTTGTTACTTTGGGGTGAGGATGAAAATAGGAAACAAAACTATGAATACAGAGACTACTCTTTCAATAGTAAATTCTGTATTGTTTGGTTCAAGAGTGGCCCAACTCTTCAGTACTGTCACAAGTGTTTAGAGAAAACTCAACTCACAAGGTAGCTTTGACCCCAACCCAGGTCTCAGTCATGAATCCATCAATCAGTTATTGGAAAAAAATTAGCTTGCTTATGCTACTGAGTCCTTCAAAGAATTGTACTATACAGTATATTTATATGTTAACTGATTTGGAAAACAAAGAAATAAACAGCTTCCATATTAAGAAAAACTTCTGAGTCACAATTCCAGTGATGGGCTTAGATGTTTGTTGCTTGGGCAAATATTGGACTGCCAGTACTATGTCTCTGTTGAATTAAAAAAAACTGGACCTGAGAACACCATCATGATCCATCCAACTTAACTAATGCATTGATGATCCTCTCTTTCATGTTCCTGAGAACTGTCAAACAACTTTGCTATGCTTCCAGGTTCATAAAACTATCTATGCCTTACCCTTGACCTCAGCCCGACTGAACTCTTTTCACAACCCATTGGAATGTTGTGCTTTGCTTAACCCATCCTCCATTAGGCCTGTCATTCTTCCTTTTGCTAAGTGGCAGTAGCTCAGCTCTGCAAAATGACTGAAGGACCAGGTGAGTGTTGTAGAGGAGGAAAACCCCTTCTGTAGTAGTCTTTGGTTGCTTAATGATGGAGTGATTTCTGCCATTTTGCTCCATGTTGTTATTCTGAATACATGATATCAAATGTAAGTGTAGTCTACATGCCATTAAATAAATGCCAACTTAATGGCATGGGAAATGATACCTGTTTTGATGTCTGTTTTGTTTAAAAAGCTGTTCATCTCTATAATTCTTATCATAGATGCAGCTTTCATTAATAATTTTCTCATATGTTTCCTGTGGTATGTAACTGCAGCCCTGTTATTGAATTGAATTTAGTGATATTTGCAATGCAAGTAATAGTTTAAATTTAAAATTACTGATGAGCATCAGTAATCATTCAGCCTCACTGAAATCCAAGGCATGGATTTCCAAGCACCCCAAGTCTCCAGAATCTGTGCATTACCCCAAAAAAACAAAACAAAACAAAAAAACCCAGACAAAACAAAAAACAAAACCCATCAAACACATGAAAATCTAATAATCTAAGCATTAAGGTATAGTACTATTATAATGCAATGCAGTATAATAATACTGAATGCACTGCTTTAAAACAAAACAAAACCTGCTAGTTCAGGTTTCCTTTATTAATTAATCATGGAGAAAATAAATTACATTAAAATTAAACAACGGGCATGAGAAAACCATATTCATAACATTAAAGTGCCTTGTTAACATTTGTGCTTCTGTATGTGATATTTGGTATAACGATATACAAGTCTTGAAACAAAATTCCCAGCAGTGGTATCCTTGTATACACTGAATAAAGGTTATTTTCTACAGGGAGGTATCTTATAAGAAAAAACAGTAGGGGAGGCCATAGGAGTGAGAGGATCCTATGGAGCTTTTTGTATTTAACAACAATCAATGGGTTTTATGGAAAATCATTGAGCAAAATGTGAGCTGCAAGCTCACTACCCCATACTGATGTTATTTATAACCTTAGTCTTAAACTGCAGGAAAAGTACACTTCCATTCTATGGGGAATACATTAGAAGTATAAAGAGCAGATAAAAAGACAGAGCATTTCATGGATCACCAAAAACAAAATCCACTTAAATGAGCTTAGAGTTCGTTTCTTGGCTCTCACTGATGGAGGAGAACTATAAGACTACATTGCCCAAGAGGAAAAAGCTGTTACCTAAGTGGGTTTGTTACTTCATGCATAAACATGGGATTAGTAACACACATATATGAAGACATAGGTACTTTGATCAAAAGACCTTTAACTCTATCAAGGCTGCTGCATTCCATGGTTTTTCACTATGCTCTGAATATTGTTCTCCTTTCTCCGAACACACATTTTTATTTTGAAACATTGAAGAAGATATAGAATTAATTCTAGAAACCCTGAGAAAAATATTTTCATGTGTTTGCCTTCCTCCCACCTCAACAGCATCATCCATGAACATCTTATATGTAACATGGGCAATGGTAGTATAAGTTGAAACCTAGCAGGGTGGCACCCATGAAATATCTGTTCAGAATCCACATCAGTAGAAAATGGCACAGTATTAAGAGGGTCAGCTGGGGCTTATGCAGCAGCAGCAGGGTCTCCAACTTCATGCTGCCTTAAATTTTAAGACCAGGAACATATTTAACGTTCCCTACTTGTTACTGCACAAATAAATAAATAAAACCTTGGGAGAGGGGAGATGCTATGTATTTTATCTGCTCACTAACACCAACATTCATTCACATAAAGGAGCTCTGCTGGACATATAGATAAAATTATAAAGGCAGCAAGCAACAACAGCAATAAACCTTAAGAGAATGAGGTTGGAGAAATGAGGATTGACTATGCATTTTGTTACCTGCAGATGGCAGACTGGCTGTAGGCTGGACCCTCTGTGGCACTTAGAGCTTGACCAACTTGTGTCTGGGTGAGACCAAGGGACAGGCGTCGTATTTTAAAAGCTTTGGCAAATTCTCGGATTTCCTCAAGATTCACCCCATCCACCTCACTGGAGGCTGTCTGGGGATCTGTTGAAATAACAGAAAACACTTTGAATGTTTTCATATCCTACCCAGCTAAATTAAGTGAATTATTTCCCGTAAAGCGAGGTAAAGCCTCCTGTATCCAGATAGTTTTGCAAGGCAAGCAGCATATCTGAAAGTACAAAAATGTAGATAAGGCAAGGATACTGAATTAATACCAAGTGGCTCATCTTCAGTTGAAAAAGGGATAGAAAGGAAAGAGGAACACTTTTAATAAAACAATGTGTGCTGTCTGGTTATTTTGCAGCGTGTTGGAATCTTGACTTGCAAACCTTCACTTTCTTCGTAGAGAGGACTTCAGGTAAAACCAGCTGCTGCTCAGGGCTGTAGACTGTTTTTCTAATAGTATTCAGGATGTCTTATTTTGGGAAAAGGGAATTCAATTCTTAAATTTCAAATAGATATTCTTTGCGTTGCATCTAAAGCAGTTGCATTTTAACAGAGAGACTTAAGGACATATTTATGGAGAGATGTACATATATCTCTGTCATGCTTTGCTTGTATATTGGATTCATTAAAATATTTTATTCTATATCATCCTAGAAAGTTTCCATGTGCAAGTCCAGCCTTCCAACTCTAACACTGACCCCCATTTCATTTTTTTATTGGCCTCTCGGTAGATAATACTCATAGTGCTGAGAGAATAAATTGGTCTTCTTCTGACAACAGCTTTTGTCCCTGAAAGGGCACGTAATAAAAGCTATCTACTAGAGGAAGACTTTTTTGATGCTGGAAACATTATCAATTTAGGATTTATTGAGGGAAATGATACAGCAGCTGGGAATGGCATCTCCCTCCCTTTCTGCAACTAATTCCTTGCTAAATGAAAGCATTCTCCAGACTGGTAGAGGCAGCAGACAACAGTCTGGTGGAAGATTTCAAAGGGTCGCTCAGTCCTGCATGTACTGAAACCATTGTTGTACAGTGTTTTCCACCTCATTCCTTGGGCTTCTGAGATGAGAAAGATGTTCAGTGTTACAACATATTTCTTTAAATATATGTCATCAGATGTTCATGTTTAACATGGATAATTACTAGCTAATAGTAGATGATATCGGTAACCGTTGAGAATTTGGCCTTTGTGTGTCTGTGATAATCACATCACTATTTAGTGGCACTATAAAAATTCTTCTCCACTTAGCTGTCTAGATGGCATTATGAAGAAAGAAAACTAAAGCCAACAAATACATAAAATATAATTTGCAATAAGATGAAATACATTTTACAGTTCTAGATAATTACCCTTATTTTGTGGGTGATTCCCAAACTTGTGACCTCAAGGTCAATTTCCCTGCCTTCACTATATGCCATGGGGTAGAAGGAGTAGGACATAGAGGCTCACAGTAAGTTGGCTAAGCTCACATGATACATTTTTTCTAAATAGACTGAGACTAGTCACTGTAGGGAAGCTATTTTTATTGGCATGTTGCTGGCAATTACAAAAAGACATCTATAAATGTATCCTCATTTATATCAGCAAACATATCAGCCTCTGGTTTTGTCCCATCCTTTATGTTCATCAGCACAGATCTCTGCTATGCTGCTTTCATTAAAAAAAAAAAAATCTTACTATTCGGTTCGGAACTTGTGAACTACCAGATGCTTGGTGATTCCTTTCATTTAACAATTGTAGATAGGCAAAAGAAGAAAAAGAAAAAGAAACCTATTGGACCATCATTATTAGTCATCATTTGTGCAAGTCTGCTTTCATGGGCATCTGTTGTAATTTTCCCAGGAAGTATAGAATATGCAGGATTTTATTATACTTTGTATGCATAATTTTGTATACATAATTGTATTTATAATTTGTATAATTTGCATTTAGTATTATCTACCCTGGAGGTTTCTTACATTTCTGAGAACAGTATATATATGCTCATGCAAAATGGCTCTTGGGGGTCTTTTGCCCATTCTCAAAATGGCTATCACATCACAATTAGTTATATGCCCTCACTGCCTCCCCCAGCCCTTTCTCGGGTAAGTCACTCTTTAATATTCCTGCTTGCTTCTATTTTTTTCTGAGCAATTGGGCTCACCTCCAAACTAATCGCCAGGCTACTAGAACTGGTCATAATTTTTATTTTTGGTAAAAGCTTATGGTCCCAATAGGGATAAGAGGCATTCTTGGAAATAAAGTTGAGGTTGGAGGCTGACACATGGCTTTGCAGCATGATACTTTCTCATCTTTATAGGTAAGAGGTTAAGTAGGCAAGGACCCTGATGGACACACTGAGACTACCAGATCCAGTATAGAGAAGCCCATATTTACACTTACTAGCAGCAGCTCCCCAGGATTTCAGACAGAAGACTTTTCCAGACCTAGCTGCAGTGGTCAAATATTAAATTTGGGACTTGCTGCATGAAAAGCAGACGTTCAGCACTAAGGAAAGCTTTTCTTTCCTCTTCTATGGGTGGAAAGTTTTTGGTTTTTTGCTTTTTGTTTCTGCAGTGAAAATGGGGAGAAATGGATATACTCATCCAGAATTTGGAATTAATGTGTCTTTCATGTTGTTGATGGACAAACTTTTTCATCAACTAATATAATGAAAAATGTGCATTACTTGGATCTTATGCTGCACAAAAGTATTTGGAGCAGTAGGTTTGTTCCTGAAACTACAGATTTTGTGCTTGGCTGCACTTTGGATAAACACTGGGCTTGATAATATCGAAAAAACAGGTCTACCCTTTCAGGTAGTTCTGTTGACTAAGGAGCCTCTGCAGCAGGTTTACCAAGATAGATAAGCCTGACACTGAGAAACTGATAGACTTGGTCTACTCTTTTCCAGTGTGGAAACTTGGGATCCAAACTATATTTTGCACTTGTGATTACAATCCTCAAGGTCTGAAATCTAAGGAACCTGTTCAAAGTCCTAAAACAGTGTTTGAGATCAGGAATGAACTGCATGAAAGAAAACAAATTGTGGCTTGGCTCATATTAGACAGTGGTGTCCTCATCAATCAAATGGGACATTAGAGATTGCTGCAAACCAATGCAGCAATTTTGAGTGCCATTTTAAAGGGAAAAGCATTATAAAAAATAAAGACTCCTTTGTGTTGAGTTTGAGTTACGTTTACCACATGGACTTATTGTTTTGGTTTGTTTTTACTTTCTTGGGTTTGTTTGGTCTTTCCCAATCCAGGTTTGATCTTGTTTAGCTTTTTGAGATCATTCCACATTACTTTGGCACTGGCTCTTGCTGTGATAAATATCTAATAAATAAAGAAATGGTTCCCTAGCTTCTCACTCATTCAGTGCCACTTGGTTCAGCCTGCATTCTGCTCTCTAGGTAATATGTAAGTCTCAGGTACTTTCACAATACTGTAGAGTTCTTTACAACCACAGAAAACACAGGTTTATTAGTTACCATATGCCAAATCACCTCAATACCCAGATGTAGTCTAAGGGAGAATAAGAAGTCCCATCCAGGAGGAAAGAAATAAAATCATGCAATCTTGCTCAAAATACATCAGAAACATACATATGCACCCTGATCGAAACTGACATAACAATACTTTATGCTGCACTGGCATAAAGTAATCCACATAATTTGCCATTTCTCAACCAGTATCCTGCTTTTTGCAATATGCATATCTCAGTAATGGGCATTATATTTGTGCCCAGGCTTTTTTTTTTTTTTTTCACTAAAAGTAAGATCTAATTTAGAAATATTTACAAACTCCAACCTTTGTTTCTACCTGTAGTGTTGGCACGGGCATCTGGCAGAGGGGTAAGGCAAGGAATGAAACATGCATTATGATGCCCTATATGTATTTGTGTGCAATGTTGGAATACACATATGAAAGGATAGAACTTGTGTCATAATGTCATGATGCATGTTTTGTCATTTGTCATTATTTTGGCTAGTTCCCTCTCTCTCCCTCTCTCTCTCTCTCTCTCTCACCATTATGACTCTCATCTGTGTGGTGGATTACTACTTCCACATTCTCTTGCCTTGTTTTTTTTTTCAATCTCAGCAACTTTAAGATGTGTGGATTTCAACTCCCAGAACAAGTACCTTAGTTTTACACTTCCTGCTCTTCTTTTTCAACAAAGCTTTTTCCTGTCATCTAAGGCAAATTTTGTCACACTTTAATGTTGTAGTGGCTGGTGGAAGGTAGGAGGTGGGATAGGTGAAGGCTTGTAAGGCTCTTTAATAAGTGGAAGCTTTTACAGTCTGAGTTCAGTTTGGTATATTTCAGATCCAAAATCAAACTACAAATTGCTGGATAGGAAAATAGTCCCTAAAAAATAGAAATAAAAATGGAACAAATTTTCCTGGTCCACACATTCCTGATCACATATGCTGATACAATCAGAATGAATGCATATTGCATAAATATTTTCTCATTTGAATTAAGTCCAAAACATTTATTGCTTATAGTTTATCTGCAGCCCCTTCCATCTGTACTGCCAATTAGTGATTGCTTAGTTATTCTAGTTATTTATTACAGGGACTTTTATGCCACTTCAATCTGGTCAGTTTACAAAAATCAAACATCAACAACAATAAAATAACAAACCACATCATCCAATCAATACATCACCCTATGGTACCACATCTCACCCAGAATAATGTAGTATTTTGGTTCCATCCACAGCCCAAAGGCTCTTTGAGATAGCATTTCATGAGCTGTTGAAAAGTCATAGAGGACGGAGTGACTCTCACTTCTGGGGACAAGTTTTTCCACAGGAATGGAAGCCCCTCCCACCAGATTCCCAATATGTATAAAAGCCACATAAAACCAAGGAAAAAAGTAGATAGAGAAACAAGGAGACAAAGGGTGAAATAAGACAAGAGAGCTATACTTACTGCTGACTAATTGGCCAACACTCAAAGCTGAAGATGAGGAGGAGGAAGAAGAAGAAGAAGAAGCCTGGCGCACTGGGCTTTGAGATACAGATGCTTGACTATGAGCCAAATGTAGAAGATTAGACTGTGAGGCTGCTTGTCCTACTTGTGTTTGAGAGGGCTGATGGAGCTATGGACAAAGATAAACAAAGACACTTTCAGCAATAAAATAAGATGTAGGTAATGGTCATAGCACTCTATCTGTCACACTGCATTGGAAAAATAACCTTTTTAAAAAAAAAACAATAAGTATTCACTTTATCGTTTTTTCCCTCCCATCTTTCTCTCTCAAAACAAAACAACAACCTACAGAGTGGCTATTTTTCAGTGATAATCAGGAGCAACATAACTGATGTAATAATGGTATAGCATTTGTTCTGCCCCAGTTGAAGCTTCCAGTTGCAAGAAGGAAAGTCTTGTATAAAACCCTCATATCTGAACCTGGGCTTTCACTGCCGGAAATGAACCCATTCTTAGGGCAATTATTTGGCCAAAACTTTCATAAATTATGAAATTCAAACCTAAAGAGTAATGCAAGTATTTGGGGCTCTCTAAGTAGTCTTACTGATACTTGCACAATTAACTAAAATTAAGCAGTTTCCAATCCAGTTTTTTTGGTGGCTTAATTAAGAATACTGAAATAAGTGGAATTTAATGTTGGCTGGATTGTGCACTAAGCCCCTTAAAAAGTAAAATAATATTCTTATAATTCTTGTGTGGAAAAAGTCAGTGGTACAAAATGCTAACCATATAACTTTATAATATGAATTGAAAAAGAAATAGATTCAGACGTCAACATTTTTCTAGCTTCCTCCTCTCCAAAACATGACTATTCCAAGTAAGGGGCTATGATTATGAAATCAAACACAAAATATACAATCCAATCTGTGTTTTATTAATTTAATATAAATTCAACTGGTGGTTGTTGAAAAAAAATCAGATTTTAAAAGTCTTTTTGAACTGCTCAGATACGAACTGATTCAATCACTGCAAATTAAAATAATTTGAGTGTGTTTTTAAATAAAGTAATTTGACTACAAACTTTTAGTATGATGGTATCTTTGTGAATTAAAAAGCAAAATCATTTTAGCATGTTTAGATTCATATAAGTAAGTATTCTTCAAATAATTTTTCTATGTTATGCTGGAACTAGATATTTCCAACACAAGATTATATTACACTATAGCAGTGTTCCTCAACCTTGGCAACTTTGTGTGGACTTTAGCTCCCAGAATTCCCCAGCCAGCCATGGCTAGCTGGGAAATTCTGGGAACTGGAGTCCACACATCTTAAAAGTTGCCAAGGTTGAGAAATGTTGCACTATAGGATATGAGACTCAGGTGCCTGTAGTGTGTTAATCTCTCCATCTTTGAAACAATTACTATCTATTACATTCTGTTAAACCTCTTCATTGTTCAGATCAAAGGCTCAGCTTCATTATTATGACCATGACCTTGGATTCTCAGGTGTAGAAAAACAGTAGGAGTAGTAATTTGACTTATTTTCATCTTCTGTTATTAAACTGATTTTGGGTTTGGAGCTAGTGAGAATGGAGCGTGCTTACGCATTGCATTTTATGAGAGAGAGAGAGACAGACAAACAGAGAGTCAAACATGTTAATGCAGCCTTTGACAACCTGGCCTCCTGATGTGTGGACTCCAATTCCCAGAATTCACAGACTGAATGGCCTTTACTGAGAATTATGGGACATTAAGTCTATGCAGCATTAGCAGAGGATAGGGAAGGCTGGGTTAATGCTGAGGATTTGTTCCTTCTCCCTAATCAAAAAATTGAATATTTATTCAAATTTGCTTAAACATAAAGCTATCATGAGTTCACAGCAGGATCAGTTTTGCTGAAAACTGTTACATGCATGATCATATGGATAATGCAAGTACCCAGCACTCAGTACTCCATCTGTCCGTCTAAGAGAACTTGTCATGAACTAGTTTAATTATGAAGATCCAATGGATAGGCCACTACCTCTCACATAGGTTTATTTATGAGGCTCATGGGACTGAGCTTCCTGCTGTGGCACTCCTAAACTGTGCAATGCACTTCCCTAAGATATTTGTTTAGTACCTACTCTAAGATAAGATGCTTCTTTATTACTAAGTACAAATGTTTGAGATTAAAAAGTGGGATAAAAAGTTGCTTGGACTGTGGAGAGATGGTTGTGATTATCTGTGTGTTCTTTCAAGTCCTGGCAGTGGTGGACTGGCACTCTGATCTAGGAATAATCTCACCCATGGAGGTTCCTAAAGTAAAATACATTTGAAAACCAAATGTTAAGGGAAATAGGACATTTTTCATAATGATAAACTCCATGGAACGTTGATTGATCCAGTGTTCCATATTGTTTATACTGCCTTGAGGTTTAGAGGACCCCAGTCAGTAACATGTATTGAACAAGATGGAACAAATGGAGACAAAAGACATCCCAGTGGATGAGAAAGCTTTAATCCTAGACAGGATTTTCTTGCATGTTGAGTGGCTGAAGATTTGGTCTTCAAAAAGAACAATCTAAATTTTGTCCCTCTTTTTCCAAAAATAGGATCAGGCATATGAGCTGCCTGAATACTCCCAAATATTGTAAATGGCATAATAATGTAATTGCACAGAGGTGCATCTGCAGCTAGCCATGTTGAAACCAAAATAATACAATATGCATTATTGTATTTTCATTATTATGAAAAGCTCCACTCTTTCATACTTGTGTGATGTTATCAGACAAAAGTACATAAGGGGCAGAGTTTGCATTGTGGCTTCATGACACCCATTCTGTTGCCAATCTGCCCCTGCCCTGTAGACACCCATGATTGTATAAGAGTGTAAATTGGTGATAAACAGGGAAAAAACCCACACCAGGTTAATTCAGGTATTTCCATAATGTATACATTAATAGAAATGCTACATTCCTCATTCACCTGTTGGCCTGGCTTGAGTGGTGACAGTGTGATTCCCTGGGTGTTGATTACCGGCAATATCTGGTTTCCAATTACTGTTGCAATGATTTGACCCTGGGCATTGGTCAATAACTGTGGTGTAATTGGCTGCACTTGAAGGCCCTGAGCTCCTCCTGCTGCCTGACTGGATGAGACTGGATTAGGCATCAGTGGAATTGTTCCAATAATCTGAAAGAAACAGAAAGCGGAAAATCAGAACGTTGTAAATATTTAATTGTGAAAGTAATACATCTACAGGCACAAGACATTTTAACTGACTCCAAGAAGAAGTTGGATAATATAGGCAGTTTATTAGTTGTGACCATATATGGTAGCTGATATAAACTAGCAGTTTATAGTAGTGTTCTAAGTGTCCTCTTACATTTGTAATTTATTTTGCTTGCCTTCCCTATTCTTCCCTTGAATTTTTGAATTCCAAAGTAGCAAGGGTATGTTTTAAAGCTAACAATTAGAGTAGGTCATCTGATCAGCTGGAGATGCCACAGATTCTCTTAACATAGGAGTGGACAATCTTTTGGAGAGCAACAGCTTTGGAGAGACAGAGGCCACAGTGGGAGTGGTGGTGATGGTAATGATGCAAAGTATATAGGCTGATACCACGGCATGAGCAGGATTGTTTTTCACTTTTACCTCATTTTTGAGATGGATCTTGGAAAGATTCATTCCTAGTTAACCTGTGCTATGCCTATTTTAGGGCCTACACTATAGTATGTTTATATTTTCTGTCTAAAATGATGAGAAATTCTACCATAAACTTTCAGCAATCCCTCAAAGAAGGTTCTGTGGTTCACAAAAAGAGGTCCCAGAGACTAACTGTAATCCTGAGGACACAGGTCCCCACCCCTCTTTTAACAAAAGGGTTTCCTTCTACAGATAAGTTATTGTAGAGTGGAAAGCATTTCTTGAAAATAGAGTTTTGAATAACCACCAGTGCAAATAATCATTTGGCCATTAGCAGTGTATTGCCCACAAGGTACATTGCCTGAATGAAAGTCACTATTCCAATATATTCATACTCCTGTATCTATATCAAGCTATATCAATCTTGGTAATGTATAGCATTTTAACTACAGATAATTCTAAAAACAATTTAGCACATTAAGAACATTTAATTATTCTTAAGTAATCACAAATGTTTCCAAACATACTTTTAATATTTTTCATTGGTAGGGAATTCAATATCATTGGATGTCAGCTAGGACATATTCTAGTTGGCTCTTTAAAGATGCAAGGTACAAGAAACACATGTTCAACTTTATAGTAAGTGGGTAAAATATTTTAAAAAATATTTTTTCAGGGTTTTTATTCTACTTTGCTTCAGTGGTAGTTTAATATAGAGAATTTGAACATTAAGAGCTGTGATAACCACTTGAAAACTTATTTTTCTCTGTTTCTCAATTTTCAGTGCCATGTTTGCCTTGACAATATTGATTAATTTTACAATGAAATTCAATATACAGTGGTACCTCGGGTCACGAACGCTTCTGTTCACGACCAATTCGGGTCATGAACAGCGCCGTTCGCAAAATTTTGACTTTGTTCACGAACACTGGATCAGGGGACGAACAGGATCCACGGCCATTTTCCCTCCCGTGACACGTGGTCGCAGCTTCCTGTAGGGAGGGGGACTCTCCCTCCAAGCAATAACCCCCTCCCCACCTGCCTTCCTGTCCTCCACGCCAGAAATCGCGTCGAGCAAGATTAGCGTTCCCTCTCTTCGTACTGTGCTTTGTGTCATATTTTTGTGGTTTT